ACTCCACAGTAGATAAGCTTCCAATTAAATCAAATTATATTTAAATAGCTGCAATATACTGACAATGATTCTATTTAAAATTAATTTACAACATTTGCAAGTACATTTACTAAAGCAACAAACTTAATGATATGTATTAGTCAGTTTGATTAGTTTAGAATAGACCAATACTTTTTTAAAAAATTATATTAATGTAGTGGGGTTTACTTTACTGTTTTGGGATTCTGTCTGATTAAGCAGATGTGATTTTTCAGAGCCAACTGTAATGAAAATTGATGAAATAAAAACTAGATAAGCTAAAAATAATTTATTAGTTTAGTGGATTCAATATTTTAAAAACTTTGTCATAAACATTAGGCATGAAGCCTCTTAAATTCTTTTAAAAACAAATTATCAATGTCAATGTGTATTAAAGCTCACTCAATGATTAATCATTTTTATAAAATTAAAATAAAAGACTCCATGTAGATACATTTACAAACACAACAAACTTAACAGTATGTATTAGTCAGAGTTTGATTGGTCAGAATAGACAAATAATTTTTATAAAAAGTATTTATGTAATAATAGAGTTTACTTTACTGTTTTGGGAATCTGTATGATTAAGCAGATGTTATTTTCCAGAGCGAACTATGACTGATGAAAATCTCCATAAAATAAAAACTAGATGAGCTAAAATAATTCAGTTTATTGGATTCAAAATTTAAAAAAAAAAAAAACTTGTTTATAAACATTAGGGCATGAAGGTTCTCAAAATCTTTTAAAATTTTCCAAAAATTAATCTAAACTTTGAAACCTACTGCTAAACAGCCTACGTGGAACAAGGATACTAAAGTTAATATACTATTTTTTTAAATTTTTCATACAATAAATCAGGAATTAGATCACTATTTAAAAAGGCACAAATTTAAAAAATTGCTTTGGTAAAAAGCAAAATAATTTGTTATTTTTTAAAACTATTAAATGCTTTGGAAAGAAAATGTTGCAATATTATTGAATTTTATATATCCGTGTATATTGTACAGAGAAAATTTACAAATAATATGTTGATTTTTTGGCATTAAAAAAAAAAACACTTTTTCAGAATTGCTGTGAACCTCATTTAACTTAAGGTGTTTTTTTTTTTATTTAGCTCAAATTGTCTTACAATTTCATAATGTAGTACCATGTTTATAAATTTAAATGTATGTATTTAGGCACTCAAACTTTTCTCTTCATTGAAAGTAAAAATGATAGTAATAACATACCATTGACAACAGTCTTAATTACAAAATCTAAAAAAAAAAATTACAAAAGTTTGTCACCTACCTGTCTGCATGTTAAAATTTTAAGTTCACCATAAGACATGCCTGTTTCCTCCAATTTCTCTTTATCATGTCCATAAAAGTTCCTTGATCTAACAACAATGGCAGTTTTCTAAACAAGATTATTCAGTTAAGCTTTACTCATGATCTGTTTCACAGGCTGAAAAATAATGTTATTTCTATGGCATGTGTTCATAACAACTTCTTCAAGCCTTTACCCAACGTCTTTTCCTGTCCAGGTTAAAAATTGTCAGTGACCAATAATGGGTTTTACTGCATGGAAGGTCGGGCCTCCTTCATAAGTTTAGCAATATCATCAATAGTTTCATCAGGCAGAGATAATCTGTAAAATAAATGAAAAATATGTTAACATGAAAAAAAAAAAATTATATATATATATATATATATATATATATATATATATATATATATATATATATATATATATATATATATATATATATGCCAATAGTTTTGTGTACTTTCTGTAGTTTAAATAATATGTGACATGTGATGTCATGGTTTTATGCATTCTCTACACGACCATATACACTTTTCCAGTTGCATGATTCAACATGTGTTTGTATATTCAAATATGCCTTTATTTTTATTTTCCTTCTTTAAATATAATTGAGTTAATACATTTAAAACATCTAACATATTATTTTCAATGAAAGTGTATCTTTAAGTTCTCCATCTATAGCTGAACATACTGATCACATAGCATCAAAAACGTTGTGGACAGAGACAAAGACAGAGAGAGAGAGAAAAGTGCACACATGGGCTTTTATTTATTATGATGATGGATATTGAACTTTTTGTAGAGATTATTTTTAATGGGGTTATAAAAATGGTATTTTTAAACACATTAAATGTTTTTCTCTCATTAAAGTGCAAAAACCCAGTTTGATGAAAATTCAAGTTTTTTTTTATGCATACCCCCTAAATTTATTAATTACATTTTTGAATCATTCATGATCTTGCGATATAGTTGACAATAATCAATTAATGTTGTTTCATATGTGGTACACATTACAATGTTTTCCCCAACATACAATCACTATACAATTTAAAAAAATATTTACCTTAAAGTTTCATTCATAGTTCCATCAAGGTAAATCATCCATGATGAGCTCCTGTTGCATGAAAACTTCTCTTTATTTTTGAATGCATTTGAGTGTGGCAGAACAAATATTTTGTCAAATTGAATTTCTCCATTGTCATCAAGTTGTAGACACTCCCTAGGAACAACAAAGACAGGACCACCAGAACATCCAGGACATGTAGGAGTGTTGTACATAAACGTGTAATGACCTGTGTCTGTGTTTGTTGATATGATTTCACCAATTGTTACTTGCTTTGACATGCCATGGGGGTGGCCAATGTGAATGCAGAGATCATTTTGTCCATCTTTAAATAAACTTTCCACAGCTTCAATTGACGATATCATTAAAGGGTTGGTTTCTTGAAGAGTTCTGAGTACTGTGTTTGTATAACTTTTTTCCATATTATTAAGATCTAGCCACAGTGCATCAACCAGATACTCTGATTTTTTATTGTTATAAGGATGTATTTTTTCTTTTACAATCCTACTCATTAAAAAATTATGATTACACATGATTACAGGAAGAGAAGCTTCATTATTGAATGATTCCATTCTATGATTTAACAATTTGTTAAACATTTTAAATCTATTTATTTTACCCAATACTTTATCTAACTTCTTAATGGTGTCATATTGAGAACTTGGTTTCTTGATCTCTCTCCACTTCTGTACTTTCTTAAAGGTTATTAAATTAAAAGGTTTTTTAATTTTAGCTGCCAATAGCTTGTCATTTGTCTTACACACCACTTCAGACAAATCACTTTCAATTTCTGAACATAACAACTCTAAACAGCTTGCATACTTGACATCACAATCCCCATCTTTGCAGTTGAAAAATTCAACAGTTGCATTTTTTACGTGTTCCTCTGTAGAGATCACATGTTTTGGTATTACAATAGTAAAATATAAATCATCCCCTGGATATTCATACCAATCATAAATCTCAACTAATCTAAACAACATTCCACAGGCTGCAACTTCATTAGGAGTTCCACTGAAAACAGCAACTCTCACTGTTAAATTACCTAAAATTTCTATAATTTTTAAAAGTGTGCATATTTTGCTTAATAGGTAAACACCTGAATGCTTAGCTTCATAATGTTTGATTGCCTGGAACTTCTGTGGGTTTCTTAAATAATCCAGTCCTCCATCATGTTCTTCAGGTAGGTTCAATTCCTTCAAAACAATTTCATAATCTTCAAGTAGGTTTTGAAATTCACCCTGTAATTCAGCACATTCTTCATCTATATTTTGAAATTTTCCTAGGTCTTCTACACACTCATCGAACTTAGTATCTGATAGCAAGTCGTCTATTTCGCTGTGTTCGTTACTGTTTAAACTTGAAAACCAAAAGAAATAAAAACATACATTAATTGTCCTAACCAAAGTTTATATTCTTGTTATAAAGCATAATCTATTATTAAACTGGATAATGATTTTTCTGTTGCGGATTAACTCGTGAAAAAATTAAGTAACTGGTGAAATATTTGTTGAAATGCTTTAATGACAAAAAGACTTTGGAAATTGTGTAATGGCTAAGGCAAATAGCAAAACATACAACATAATGACATCAAGGTTAAAAATAACATACTGTGCAGTACTTTTATCCCCACATAATTTAATTTATCATTATAATTTAAAAGAAGTGATTATATCGAAAATTCGTTTTGTATTTTACACTTTGTCGTAACGGAAAGAAATGGTAAAATGGAGAAATATCAACAAATTACTTTTAAAAAATGAAAGCATGATAGGCATATTACAGATGACAGGCTAAAGCATGAGAAATCAAGATCAAATGAAAAACATGTAAAAATGTGTTATTATGTTTATAATAAGATGAAAACTTAGCAAGTATTTTACTAATGAGGGCCATAAATAAAGAAGAAGATTTATGAAGATTCAACAAAATGCACTGTGAGCAACTATACGCCTGTGTACAAAATTATCCAAATTAGTGTGCCTACATACAGACAACTTAGACACATAGGGGCTGCATCTAGATAATTGGTTCAAAAAGGGTTTGAGCAAAAAATCACTGCTTAAAAACTGCAAAATAAAATCCCAAGTCATGGAAAACTGTTACTAAGACCTCATCTCCAATGATGTATTGTGTAAGGGTCATCCAAATAACATTTAGTCATGATCACCTGCTGACAATTTTAGAAAAAAGACAGCTTGGGTATAGATTAGTCGCTATGTCATCAGGCATAAAAAAAACTACACCAGCAAAAAACAAGGGAAGATAACATCAAACACTGGATGTCATTAGAGGTAGTAGTAGTGCTTCAATATCTCATCTAGACTACAGGACAGATTGATGGCACAGATTAAATCAGAGTAATGGATAAGTAGAATAACTACATAACTGTGTTGAATGAGGGAAATGAAAAAATTACCTTAACTCATTGTTGTTCATGGAACTGTAAAAGTAATGTCTCCAACTAAAAAGCTTTTCAACTTCTTTGTGTGTTTTAGAGTGTGGTAAAAAACATATTTTGTCCAATTGCATTTCTCCTTCATCATTGAGTTCCAGACATTCTCTAGGAACAACAAACACAGGGCCACCACAACATCCTGGACATGGTGGAGTGTTGTGCATAAACATGTAAGGACCTATGAATGATTTTGTTGATTTAACTTTACCAATAATTACTTGCTTTGACTTGCCATATGGGTAGCAAATGTGAATACACATATAGTATATTTCACATTTAAATTTGAATAAATTTTCTACTAATGTAATAACAGTTTTTCTCTCTTGAGGGTTTATAAACACTCTGTTTAATAGTTCAATTTCACTTGTATCATTTATTTTAAATATATTATTACTCACATGAAAATACTTTCCCTCAAAAATAAATAATTGCAATTGTTCTATGTTTCTAAAATCAAATTTTAAAGGATATGTGAAATTGTCTTTGTTTAGTAATTCATCTTTAGGATCATAATGATTTATGTGCTTTGACACTTTATTTACCTCCTTAAAATTATTTAAATCAGGTTGAATTAGATAGCTGTATTTGAGCTCTCTAACATATAAAAACAAGGTATCTCTATGTGCTAGCTTGAACTTGTTGAAGTCAAGCAGGTTCTTTATTTTAACTGCCAACATTTTGTTTGTTGTCATACACAACACTTCAGAAAAATCCCCTTCATTATTTGAGGCTAATAATTTAATACACTTGGCACTATTGGAATCACAACGGTAATCTCCATCATTGAAAAAGTCAACAGTCGCACTTTTTGCTTCAGTGTCACTAAAGATCACATGTTTGGCTGTTATGATAACAAAAAATAAACAATGATCTCTTCCATAGTCTAAGTTCTCAATCTCTACTAATCTAATTAACATTCCACTTGCATTAAGTTTGATACGTTGTTTATTGAGAGCACTTATCCTCACTGTCAAATTACCCAAGATCTCAATGATCTTATATACTGTACTACTTTGGTTTCCAAGAAAATATTTAAAGGGAATGAAATTTAAATGTTGATCATTTTTCCCACAACGTTTCATGTCCTTATGTAGGTTGTATCCTCCCCTCTGTGCTTCATCTCCTTCTTCCACAAACTCTGGTTCAGTTACCCATTTGTCCATGTTGTTATAGGGATCCATGTTTTTAAAGGAAACCTTAAAAAATAGAAAACAAATCATTAACTTTGGGGGAGATGCTCTGTTTTTTATTTTTATTTTTTACAATTTTGGATCTAAAGCCTTTTGAATACTTTTATCATGTTTGGCACATAAAGTAAGTATAAAAGAACAATTTTGGCTGTCATTGAAACCCAAAAAAACCTCCGCCATTTTGAATTTAATTTTTCAGTACTTTTAAATAAGCTAAGGCTTTTTTATTTATGCACTTATTGCAATCAAATTTAAACTGCTTATATTTCAGTATATATTTAAACTTTTGTCACAACTTTTTGAAATAGCTACTTGTAAGAAATTTACAAAGTCTAAAAAATTGTACACCTTTTGGTATTCAAAAGTTTCAAATTTTTTTCTATGAAAGCCATCACAATTCCCTCAAAACAAAAGTTTTATTTCTGCATGAAGAACAATTACTGAAAATATTGTAGGCATATTTAATAAATAAAAAAGTAGTCGGCTTTTAGTGTTTAAAAAGTGCGAACTGAGAAAAACAGCAAAAAGTAACATGTTTGTGTAATTTATAAAGCCGATTGTGACTTTTGGGTTTTTCTGAGATGATTAAAAATACATGAGAAATTCAGCTTTCCAAAGATGCCAAATACAATATGATATCGGATATAAAATGTTTCCCAGAGAGCTTGTAAGATTGAGAAAAAACAATTATTTTTTAATGAATGGGGTAATAAAAATGGTATTTTAAAAGAATTTTTTTTTCATTAATGCTATTATCTTCTTAGTACAAAAACAGACACAGTATCCAAAAGCGCAAGAAACCCACCATGACAAAAAACCAGGAATATGGTGCTTTTTGTATGGAGCATGTCCCCTTAATTAATCACATAAACATAGAAAAAAGGGGCCATTTATACATTATATCTTAACTACTGTTAGTATTATTATTGTTGTGAGAAAGAACATCACACCACACAAAAACTTAGGAGAAACTATGTATTGCTATGCAGTCGCTTTTCATTAATGTTTCTACTAAATGTCTTACTACTAGTAAATAAAGATATCTTACCAATCTAATTAATTTCTTTAATAAAAAAAGGAAAAGCCTACAAAGCAAGATCTAGAATCATCCATAATCTAGATCTGTACACTACATGAATAATACTTTAACTAGGGTAAATATAATATACAGTATTATTAAAAAATAAAATCTAAAAACTAAATTGCCTAGACCAGACCCAGAAGAAACTGCTAACTTCACAGACATTAACCTACACTTTAAAATGTCTTAATGACCAATCTAAGAACAAGAAATAATAGGAGCTATTCATAAAACAAAAAACAATTAGGATATAATTTAATCACTGCAGAGATGCTAAAAGCAGACCCAAAAACAGTTGCAGAAACTATCGCGGATCTTCAATAAAGTATGGAATGAAGAAAAAGTGCCAGACTCAGGAAAAAGGGGAATCATTATCAAATTACTCAAAAAGGGTGACCTGAATGTCTGTGAGAACTGGAGAGACATTAACCCTCTTTCAGAGCCAGGAAAAATCTTCTGCAGATTCTTATAACACAGAATGAGGAAAAGAATAGATGGAATCCTTTGTGAAGTGCAAGCTGGCTTCAAGGCCAACAGGTCATGCAAAGACCAAATATTTGTCTTGTGCACCATTGTGGAATAGTCCCTGGAATGGAACTTGTCTCTTTACATCAACTACATTGAATATGAGAAGGCATTTGATAGCATCCACCATCCATCACTATGGAAGATACTAGAGCTATATGGCTTTCCAGGAAAAGTCATAAACATGCTCAAGGACATGTACTATGACAAATAATGCAGTGTGCAACATGAAAATCAGCAAAGTGAAGGGTTCAAGGTAAAAACAGGAGTCAGACAGGGCTGTGTCATCTCACCTGTCATCTTTTTGATGGTAATAGACTGGATTATGAGAAGAGCCACTGAGGATAAGCCAAGAGGAATTGTTTGGGAACTTACCAACCACCTAGAGGACTGTGACTTTGATGATGACTTGGATCTACTCTCGCATGCCCAAAGGAATCCAAGCAAAAACCACAACAATAGAGCAAATTGCTAAAAGCGTTTGGCTAAAGATAAACTCCAGGAAAATCAACTAATAAAAGTAAAGACTAAAAGCGCTCCCAGGACCTTTGTGAATGAAGCAGATCTAAAAGAGGTCGAAGACTTTAAGTACCTCGGCAGCTATATATCAGCAAATGGCAGCATGGAGAAATAAATGGCCACCAGAATAGCAATGGCAGCACAAGCTTTCAACAGACTTGCTAAGATCTGGAAATCGTCCTCACTTCAGCAGAGAACGAAAATAAGGATTTAAACTCTAAAGTACATTCTGTACTCCTCTGTGCTGCAGAGTCAGGAAAACTAAAACAGCAGAGAGCCACCTCAGAGGTTTTGAAAGAAGATCCCTCCAAAGTATTATCAGGATTAAGTGTATAGACAAAATCCCAAAGAAGGAAATATGACAAAGGAAAGGTTTCAATAACATTATCTTAGAAGTGCAAATGAGGAGATGACAATCGCTGGGCCATGTCCATCGTATGAACAGAAGAAGACTCTCGAACATAGTGTTAAAATGGACTCCATGTGGAAAACGAAACAGAGGAATACCACTGGGAACATGGAGGAGATAGATGGAAGAAGAAGTACAGGCTACTGGCAATACCTGGCATGAACTGAAGTGGCTCGCCCAAGAAAGAGTGGAATGGTGGAGATTTGTTGCGGCCCTATACTCCACAGGAAGTGACAAGGATTAAGTAAGTAAGTATATCTCCTAGTGTAGTATGTAGATTGTAGGCATTTTAATTTATTTGATAATTACAGTAGGTAGTACTAGGTAGGTTAATGTGAGTATCCTATATACTATATACTATATATGTCATGAGTAGGCCTGCAGTACTAGATATTACTAAGATAACTCTTTTTGTGGCTTGTAAAACTTTGGATGAAAGGAGAATAATTATTAATTATTTAATTATTAACAAGTGTACACACTTTACATGTGTTAACCACATATCATTATAGGACATATGCTAGAAACTTAAGAAACAGTCTTTCATTGAGTATAGTCTCAGTATCTGAGTATACTCAGTGACAGTATAACTGAGTATAGCCATAGGCCTACCCTACATACAAAATAAATATAGAAATCTACATTCTAATCTACTGACTGAATGATTTATAGATCTACTGCGTAATTTACTACTAGTCTATAATTATTAATTAATAACATATTCAAACACTAACCCATCATAATCATATTCATAAGATGATACTGAATACTGATACTACTGTGATAGATCTAGCTAGATCAAGACCTAAACAAACGCATTCGTTTAGGGAATTCCTGAAATAATATATCTATTAATAGATCTATAAAAAAAAAGTAGAACCAGTAAGATAAACGAACCAAAACATACAAGGGAAAACAAGTAATTAAAAAAAGTCTAGTGACAATTTTAGCGCAATTTCCTTGTGTTATCTAAAAATAGCTCTGACGTAGCGTAAATCAAGAGCAGGGTTAGTAAAACCATTGGTTAGTTATTAAAACGTTTTTTATTAATTTTTTTTTCCAGTATTGTACATGTTTTATTTACAATAGAGTTACATGACTAAAAACCATTGCGCGCCTACTGAACGTGATGACGCAGCCATTGAACATGATGGCGCAGCTATTGAACGTGATGACGCGTGTGGTGTGGTTGGAAAAATATGCCTACTAATTCGGTCCAAATTTTAATTAATTCAAAAAAAAATTTTGTGACCGAACGAAAGGATATTTCTGAAAACTTTCTTCGGCAATATTGTTTTAAATTATTGCAGGAATCGATTGGTACATGTTTCAAGTCGCTAAGTGGTCTGGTTGCCGAGATAAGGGCCAAAAACTGCTTTTTTTTCGAGGTTTTTTGGCTTTTCCGGGAAATACATGAAAGAAACCCGGAATTTTTATGGCCTATGTTCATCCTCGTAACTTGCTTAACATAATTGCTTTTGGAACTAGTCATCGATATTGCTTCGTTGAGGAGGAGATACGACTTAAAGCTGCGGACACACATCCATCCATCCATCCATCCATTCATTCATACATCCAGAAATGACGGGTTAATAAACGCAATTCTCCAGAATGGAAATTGCGCTAAAAAACGTTCTCATTAACGTAGTTAAGTTAGCTTTATATTAGCTTATTACTTTCTCGTATACGAAGTATAGAGGAAGCATTGTAATCGTGCATACAAAAAAATCGAGATTTTTTTTTTACAAATCTCGACGTTTTACACATGGGTCGGAAAAAACATAGTTTTGTCCGTATGTCGGTGCGTGCGTGTATTTCTGTGTTTGTGAACACGATAACTTGAGTACCGTTACAGCTAGGTTGATGAAATTTCATATATACGTATTGTATTAAATGTGTGGTTCTGTATGAACTTTTCACCGATTTCCGGTAAGCGGAATTAGAGCTTATTCCACTTTCAATTTTTAAAAAGCTTGAGTACTGTTTCAGATAGATTAATGAAATTTCAAATGTGAGTAAAAGATCTAATTCTCTGCCTTCTGTCAAATTTTGAGTTATTTCCGTTGACCGGAAGCAGTAATTTACGCTATTGCATGTAAATTTATAAAGTGCTAATAATATTCCGCACTATTATACACGTATTGTTTGGCGTTTACATGTTGCGCGGTTCTTTTTTCTACGAGATTCTATTCTATTTTAAAAAGTGTAAGTAATTAAAAATGGATTAAAAATCATGTCTATTCGAGTAGCCATCCATCCCCCGTAGTGTTATACAAGAATATTCTAGAAAGTTTACGGGAGATCAATCCCGGTTTATTTTTTTGTTATTTAAATTTTCATTATTAAATACACAGTGATCAAACTACCATTTTTATGTGAACTAGTGTTTCTTTCAGACTTTTTTCTGCGGGGGGAGGGGCACTTGAAATTTTCGGGGGAGGGGGCTGACTAAAATTTCCGGGGTTGGGCGGACATTGGTTAAAGAATATAATATTTCATATATAAATTATATATCGTTCGGGGGGGGGGGGGGCGGGGCGGTAGTCGGTGGATGCCTAGAAAAAACACTGATGTGAACATTTTTTCATTTGTTTGTTTGGTTTGTTTAAGTTACTAACTGTTCCTACTTTTTATGTATTTTGCTTTAGATCTATTAATAGATATAGTTTTTCAGGAATTCCCAAAACGAAATGAAATGTAGATCTAGAATCTAGTCAAAAATTTTAAATATCATTTATCACGCAGTGCAAAGTAATAAATAGGCCTACTAGTAGTACTAGAAATCTAGATCTAGAGATCTAATTGGTAAGTAGATCTAGATCTTAATCTAGAAATCACTTAGTCTTAGTCAGTATCAGTAGACTATTGTTTATTTAGGCCTATATATTATAAATATATTTTAATTTAATACGACTAGCATAAGTAAGTTGAATGAAACGTTGGTCTTTGGGGTGTGAATTTTCGGTAATGTATCGTTTTAGGTAGCCTACGTAAAATCGCCCGTGACTAGTAATGTGAAAAACAGGTGACTCCTTAAATTTTAATAATTATTTCACATTTTGAGGAGGATTTAGATATGTTTTGAAAAAAATACAAAAATGTTTCCTTTTTTCACTTATGTACCTGGTTTAAAACAACTGAATTAAAACTTTTCAGTAAATGAGTAATAAACAATAAATGAAGACTAGCGATGTTTCCAACAGATGTAACCATAGTAGTAGCCATCTTGTTTATTTTTTTTATTGTATAGGCCTACTTATAGCACAAGATTCAGGGGAAGCCACTCTAACTTACAGATGGCCGCTTTTTATATAGCAAATCCTGCTCGCAAACACTGCTGTTTAAAGTTAATTTCTTGCCTATATTGATATATTTGGTAATCTATCATTTTAGGTACGTAAAATCACCAGCGACTTGTAATGTGAAAAACAGGTGACTCCTTAAATTTTAATAATTATTTCACATTTTGAGGAGGATTTATGTTTTATAAAATACAAAAATGTTTCATTTATGTACCTGTTTTTAAACATTTGAATTAAAACTTTTCCATAATAAATGAACACCAGCGATGTTTCCAACAGATGCAACCATGCTCATTTACTGTAGCAGCCATCTTGTCTAAGTTTTATTTTTATAAACTTATAGCGCAGATTCAGGGGGAAGCCACTCTAACTTACAGATGGCCGCTTTTTATATAGCAAATCCTGCTCGCAAACACTGCTGTTTAAAGTTAATTTCTTGCCTATATTGATATATTTGGTAATCTATCATTTTAGGTATGTAAAATCACCCGCGACTTGTAATGTGAAAAACAGGTGACTCCTTAAATTTTAATAATTATTTCACATTTTGAGGAGGATTTATGTTTTATAAAATACAAAAATGTTTCATTTATGTACCTGTTTTTAAACATTTGAATTAAAACTTTTCCATAATAAATGAACACCAGCGATGTTTCCAACAGATGCAACCATGCTCATTTACTGTAGCAGCCATCTTGTCTAAGTTTTATTTTTATAAACTTATAGCGCAGATTCAGGGGGAAGCCACTCTATTTTACAAATGGCTGCTGTTTATATAGCAAATCTTGCTCTCAGACACTGATGTTTAAAGTTAATTTCTGGCCTTTATCGATATATTTAGCCATTGATTTAGGTTTATTATTCATTTTTCTATAATATTTGACACAAACATATGACAATATACTTCTATTAAAGCCTTGACAATGAGGTAACCTCTTCGTACATTAATAGCCGCGGGCGATTTTACGTACCCAAAACGATAGATTACTATATATTTAGCCATTAATTTAGGTTTATTTTTTATTTATCTATAATATTTGACACAACTATATCACAATATACTTCTATTAAAGCCTTGACAATGAGGTAACTTTTTTGTACATTACTAGCCGCTGGCGATTTTACGTACCTAAAGCGATAGATTACCGAATTTTCTAACTTAACTAACTACTTTACTACAGCTATCAACTATCTAGAGATCTAGATTAGATCTATTACTATTAATTTATTACGACTATTAGATTAGGCCTATATTTATTATATTGATATAATTAATTAATTATACTATAAACTACTATACTCTGAAGTCTATGATAGTCTATCTTAGTATCTATAAATCTATAGGCTTTATCTCTAGATTCTATATCGGTAAAATCTATTGTTTTTTTACGTACCTAAAATAATAAAAATAATAAATATCCTAAAACTTTTTAATTAGGACATTTGATTTTAGGTACGTAAAATCGGCCGAGATTAGTACTGTGGAAAACAGGTGATGCATTAAATAAATTTTAGTAGGCCTAACCAATCATTTCACATTTTTAGTAGGATTTGTGTTTTGAAACCTATAAAAATGTTTCAAAGTTTCATTCATGTAGATCTACCTGTTTTTAAATAGTTGTCTTAAAACCTTTCAGTAATATATAAAGACTAGGGATGTTTTCATCAGATGCAACCAAGCTCATTTACATGAGCAGTTTAGCAGCCATCTTAAGTTTTTTCGGTTAAATTAGAGTTACACATTCTGGGGAAACCACTCTAATCTACAGATGTCTGCTGTTTATATATATAGCAAATCTTGCTAACAAACTTTGGTTTATTAGTGTTATCTATAATATTTGACACAAATAACCTATATCACAATATACTTTATATACTTCTATTAAATTAAAGCCTTAACAATGAGGCACCTTTTATTCACATTACCAGCCTTAGCTTATTTTACACACCTAAAAACAATAGATTACCCTACTATCTTTTACTAAGTTGTCTAGAAACTAGTTATATACTATCCAGATCTCATCTAGATCTAGTGCCATAGTCATAGTGTATAAACTTTGCATTATCATAGTCATCAGTCATATTTCATTGTGTCAGCCAGAAACTGATGGAAGTCATGGGCACTAATAAAAAAAATAATTTAAAATGTTATATGCATATTTTTTATGTTCTTATGTCTAATACTTTATTAACATAATGCTATTCATTAATTTATGTTCTTAATTAAAAAATATAAAATCTCCCATGATTAAATCAGTGATAAAATTTTCCAGTTTAACTTGTGTCAGTAGCCAAATATTCAGATTGTGGATGTTTATAGATCTAGCTTTGTAATCTTTTTACTTATCTGGAAATCACTTAGGCAAGATATCTAAAGTAAATACACACCTAGGCAACTTCTAAGTAGTAAGACATTAAGTAGTAGAAATCAAAATGCTATGTGACCCCAAAGTGTTTGTGTGGTGTGATGTTCTTTCTCCCAACAATATTGATAGTAGTTAAGATGGAACATGTAAATGGCCCGTCTTTTCTATGTTAATTTGATTGTGTTTTTGTTTTCTATTTTTTTAAGGTTTCCTTTAAAAACATGGATCCCTATAACAACATGGACAAATGGGTAACTGAACCCGAGTTTGTGGAAGAAGGAGATGAAGCACAGAGGAGAGGATACAACCTACATAAGGACATGAAACATTGTGGGAAAAATGATCAACATTTAAATTTCATTCCCTTTAAATTTTTTCTTGGAAAGGAAAGTACAGCATTTAAGGTCATTGAGATTTTGGGTAATTTGACAGTGAGAATAAGTGCTTTCAGTAAACAACGTATCAAACTTAATGCAAGTGGAATGTTATTTAGATTAGTAGAGATTGAGAACTTAGACTATGGAAGAGATCGTTGTTTATTTTTTGTCATCATAACAGCCAAGCATGTGATCTCTAATGACACTGAAGCAAAAAGTGCAACTGTTGAATTTTTTAATGAGGGAGATAACCGTTGTGATTCATATAGTGCCAGGGGTATTAAAGTTTTAGAATCAAATAATGAAGGGGATTTTTCTGAAGTGTTGTGTATGGCAACCAATAAAATGTTAGCAGTTAAAATAAAGAACCTGCTTGACTTCAACAAGTTCAAGCTAGCACATAGAGATAACTTGTTGAACATTTTTATTGAAGGTAAAAAACTCAACAACCCCATCAGTCAAAATCAATCTGATTTAAATACCTTTAAGGAGGTAAATAAAGCATTGTGGCACATAAATCAGTTTCATCCTAAAGAACAATTACTAGACTCTTTTACACATCCTGTAAAATTTGATTTTAGAATCATAGGACAATTGCATTTGAATATGTTTTTGTTTGAGGTGATGCTTTTTTGTCAGAGAAATGGAATATGTACAAGAAATGTTACTACTAAAATAGAATTATTAGACAAAGTTTTTAAAAACTCTCAGGAGAGAAAAACTGTTATTACATTAGTAGAAAATTTATTTAAATGCAAAATGACCAATCTGTACATTCATATTTGCTACCCATATGACAAGTCAAAACAAGTAACTGGTAAACTTATGTCAACAGAATCATTCATAGGTCCATATATATATATGAACAACACTCTGACATGTTGTGGTGGTCCTGTGTTTATTATTCCTAGAGAATGTTTGGAACTCAGTGATGATGGAGAAATTCAATTGGACAAAATATTTTTTCTGCCACCCTCTAAAACACACAGAGAAGTTGCAAACTTTTTTAGTTGGAGAGATTATTTTGACAGTTCTATGAACAACACTTTAAGGTATTTTTCATTTATCTAATAAATGTATCTATTCTATTTATATACTACTCCATCCCACACATGAATGCTATACATCTGTCCTGTAGTCTTGGTGAGATTATTGAAGCACCACCATTATCTTTCTGATCAGATTGTTATCTGTTATTGTTAAGAACATCCATTCAGGATATTGGAGGTAACTCAAAAATTGAAAATATTCCAAGTATAACCTGTTATTTGCATATATGAAAATTATTTTACTTAAATGAAACACCACGGGACTATGTAAATTACCACTTACCACTGTCTGAAATCATTCAAAAATTTGATAGAAACCTACAGATACAGCATAATAGCTATTTATGAAATTTCTTCCACTTAAATGTTACTCAAGTTTTTTGCTTTTGAGAAATCGGAAGTAGCATGAATATAACTTACTTTTTACCAGGAAAGCTGATAGATAACTACATATTTAAAATATTATTGACAGCTGAAACTGTACTAAAATTGCCGTATTCACAGACATACAAACAAAAGTGCAAAACTAAGTTTTTCTGACTAAGGAAAGTGTAAAATGTTATGTCAAGATTTGTAAAATTCTTGATTTTTTGCACAATTACTTTATTTCCTATATATTTCATATACAAGAGAGTGAAAACTGGCATAAATATTAAAATTATTTCTCTAAATTTTATGCCTTACACTAGTACACCTACATATAAACTAAAGAATAAATGTGAAATTTAGATTTATTGTTGTTATTGTTCAAAATATTTCCCACAGTTTGTAAACAATGACGTGGTCTTAAAAATAATAAACCAGGAGCGATCTCCCCTAAACTTTCTCGAATATTCGTTTATAAAAAAACGGGATGGGAACACGGGATATAGACATGAATTTTAATCCATTTTAAATACTTAAACTTTTTAAAATAGAATAAAATCTCGTAGAAAAAAGAATTGCACACCCATGAACATCAAATAAAACGTGCATAATAATGCAGAATATTATTAGTACTTTATAAATTTACATTTGTTTTTTGAGAAATCGGAAATAGCATAAATTAGTACTTTCAATCAACGGAAATTACTCAAAATTTGACAGAAGGTAGAGAATTAGATCTTTTACTTACATGTGAAATTTCATTTATCTATCTGAAATAGTACACAAGTTATAGGCTTTTTAAAAATTCAAAGTAGAAAAGGTACCACTTCCGGTTATCAGAAATCGCTTAAAAGTTGATATGGATCTACGATTTTGATACAATACTTATATATGAAATTTCATCAACCTAGGTGTAACGGTACTCCAGTTATCGTGTTTACACACACACAGACAACGGACATAATTGCAAAGTCCAGTTTTTACGACTCGATAACGCATTGAACGCCAAAATGTTTATATATTTGTATTTATAATTTTTGCCTTATTAAAATAAGTCCTCTATACTCCGGATGTGATGAAGGACTGAGGAGTAAAACGGTGAAGACTGTCAAAAAAAATTTACGGCTTAGCTACAAATTTTAAAGTGTATTCTTTTTTATTAGAAGATTCTCTGATAGGTCAGGCATGCAGATTAATACTTAGAGGATCATCTTACAGATATTTCATAGCCAAACTTTTTAACTTATGTGTTGATTTTATCTCTACTTGTAAATTATAATGCAAAATTATATTATTTAGTGATTGAAATACAGCTTGTTATTGCTTGAACCATTACACAATTTCAAAATGGTCTTTAGTTTATGAACTGTTGGAAAAATAAGTATTGATTTCAATAAATATTCCAACCATTACTTATTTGTGAATCACTATACTAATTACTACAATAGCACTTTACATTTCCAGTTTAAAAATTAAATAGGCACATAACAATAATTTTAAAAGTGGTTCAGACAAGGATGTATGTTGTGTGTTTTGGTTTTTTTTTACATTTAAAATATTCATTTTACCTCTTGTGATTTTCAAGGTTAAACAGCAACCAACACAGCCAAATAGACAACTTGCTACCTGGTACTGTGTTTCGTGAGTGGGCCGAAGAACTTTGGAAATTTCAAAACCTAGATGAAGAACTTTGGTCATTTAGAAACCTACATAAGTTCACTGAAATTCACCATTATGAATCTAAACATTCAGACTTTAATCTGTTTGCCAAAGTATGCATACTTTTAAATATTATAGAAATATTAGGTAAATTAACAGTGAGGGTTGCTGTTTTCAGTGGAACTCCTAATGAAGTTGCAGCATGTGGAATGTTGTTTAGAATAGTAGAGATTGAAAATCTGGATGATCAACCAGGTGATGATTTATATTTTACTATTGTAATACCAAAACATCTGATCTCTATAGAGGAACATGTAAATAATGCAACTGTTGAATTTTCCTACTGCAAACATGGGGATTGTGATATCAAGTATGCAAGCTGTGTAGAATTGTTACGTTCAGATAATAAATATAATTTTTCTGAAGTGGTTTGTAAGACAAATGACATGATGTTGGCAGCTGAAATTAAACAACTTTTTGATTTAAAAAGCTTTAAGCAAACAGAGAAGTGCACAGAGATCAAGAAACCAAGTTCTCAATATAAAAACATTAAAACATTAGATAAAGTGTTTAGTAAAATAAATAGGTTTTATATTTCTGACAAATTATTAAACCAAACAATGGAATTAACAAATATTGATGCTCACCATCCTTTAATAAAACATGATCCTAGTTATTTAATTAGTAGGATTTTAAAAGCAAAAATAAAGCCTGATAACATAATAAAATCAGAGTTTCTGGTTGATGCACTATGGGTGGATCTTAATAACATGGAAAAAAGTTATACAAATATGGTACTTAAAAATCTTCAAGAAAGAAACCCTTTAATGATATCATCTATTGAAGCTGTGGAAAGTTTATTTAAAGATGAACAAAATGATCTCTGCATTCACATTGGCCACCCCCATGGCATGTCAAAGCAAGTAACAATTGGTGAAGTCATATCAACAGACACAGGAACAGGTCATTACACGTTTATGTACAACACTCCAACATGCCCTGGATGTTCTGGTGGGCCTGTCTTTGTTGTTCCTAGAGAATGTCTAAAACTTGATGTCAATGGAGAATTGCAATTTGACAAAATATATGTCATGCCACACTCAAATGCATTCAAAAATGAAGAAAAATTTTCATGTAACAGGAGCTCATCATGGATGATTTACCTTGATGGAACTATGAATGAAACTTTAAGGTAAATTTTTTTTTAAAATTGTTTCATGATTCTGTATGTAAGGGGAATGTGGGTAATTTGTAGCAAACAAAATTAACTTTTAAAAACATGAAGTCGGAAGCAGTGTATTTTTTTCTATAAAACATTCATTATAAATTTTTTAAATGTAATTAACAGAGCACAGAAATTAAGAGAAATTTTTTCAAAAACAGTAAATTATTTCCAGCACATTATATTTTGATAATTCGTTTATTGAAATGTTGAGGTCTTTTTTGTTTTATTTAATATAGCAAGTCTATACAGATTTAAAATACAATCATGTACATACTTAGATGCAGATAATATGCAATACACTATATCTCATTCTCTCTCACACACACACACTCTCTCTCTTTCACTCTCTCTCTCTCTCTTTCGCTAAATATATATATATATATATATATATATATATATATATATATATATATATATATATATATATATATATATATATATATATATATATTGCATTTATATTACAGAATATCTCTGCCTGATGAAGTAGTTAATGATATTTCTAAGCTTTTGAAGGATGCCCTACCCTCCATGCAGTAAAACCCATTATTGGTAACTAAATCAAATGGAATCAAATCCTGGACAGTAAAAGAAGTTGAACATAGGTTTGAAGAAGTTGTTATGAACACATGCCATAGAAATAACAGTGTTTTTCAGTCTGTGAAACAGATAAAGAATAAAGATTAACTGACACATGTTGAATCTCATTTCAAAATAAACTATCATTGTGGTTAGATCTAGGAACTGTTACGGACATAATGAGAAATTGGAGGAAATGAAAACTTAAAACAGGCATATCTAATAGTGAAATAAAAATTTTAGGTAGATGACAATATGTATTATTTGTAACAAAGACTGTTGTCAATGATATGTTATTGCTACCATTTTTACTTACAGTGAAAAGAAATTGGTGAGTGTTGTAGTAACACACATTTTAAATTAAAAACATGTTACTATTTAATAAAATTATTAAACATTTTGAGCCAAATATAAAAATCACATTAATTTACAGCAATTCACAGTAATTCTGAAAAAGTGCTTTTTTTAAATGTCAAAACTCAACATATTTTTTGTACATTTTCTTTTTAAAATGATCACCTATATATAAAATTGAATAAAATTACTATTTTATTTCAGGAAAGCATTAAAAGTTAGAATAAATTACAGTGTATTTTGCTTTTGACAATAAAATTATTAATGTCATGTAGTTTAAATCTATTTACATTTTCTCTTGAATTCAGGGGTTGGGTTTTTAATTAGTATTTATTTTTATAAATGATCTATTACCTATTTTATTATATGAAAAATCATGAAAAATAATATACCAATTTGGTATCCTTATTTCTCAATAGACTATTTAGCAGGCCCGTAAGAATGTTTCTAAGGTTAGTTTGATTTTTGTTTGAAGCACGATGAAAATGTTAAAAGATCTTGAGAGGCTTAATAAATAACCAAATGTTTATAAAATATTTTTAAAATTTTGAATCCAATACGCTATTAAAGTATTTTATCTCATTTAATTTTTATTTTATGGATTTTTACTAGTCATAGTGGTTTTCGGAAAATAACATCTGCTTAATAATCAGACAGAACCCCAAAACAATAAAGTTAATCCTGATACATAAACAGGCTCTGCAATATTATCTGTCCATTCTTACTTTTTTTTCAAACTCTAACCATTACATTTTTATCTACAATTCAGTATGATGTGTTCAAAAATGTATTTTGATGTTGTAAAATAATTTTAAACAGAATCATTGTAAGTATATCAAAGCTTTTTTTCTATGTGCAATAAATCTTATAATGACCTTTGATTACAATGTAATGTAATTACAACCATATCTACATGGAGTCTTTTTAAAAATTTAACTGAGATGATTAGTTAGTGAGAGAATTTTAATAGATAATAATGTAAACATATAAAACATCCCGGACATCCCTTATGTTGTTCCTTGAGTTTATCAGCTCTGATGGGTATCTGACCTTTTTAGGGAAAATAAAGTCCACTGTATAAAGAGCTAACCACACAATTCTTCAAATGCCAAGGTGATGAATACAGGTGAATTGTACTTCATCTGATCAATTGCTGCAAGTACTGAAAGTTAAATTCACTTTTACCTTCCTATGTAAACTATTATATATTAATCATCTGGATATTGGCTGATTCATACAAGTGTATGTATACATACATTGTATTCTTTGTTGTATTTTTATTCTGCTTTCATGCTTTTTTGCTGGCTAAATGGAACATACATTGTATTCTTTGTTGTATTTTAAGTGTTCATGCTTTTTTGCTGGCTAAATGGCAATCTTCTCATTTTTTTTTTTCAACTATTTTATTTTTGAATCTCTGAAATTTATTAACTTTAAAAAACGGGTCATATTCTTTCCTTAATTAGTCTATTGGTATATTAGTCTATTTGTATATTATCAAAAATTTTATAAAAAGATATACTTTAAAAACATTGTATAAAAAGAATAAATGGACCTCTCTCATTTTGCATGTTTAATATAGATAATAAAAGCAATTTATAAATACTATTAATTCATTATGGATTATCAATACGATATTATTTTTCCAGTTATTGTTTTAGGAAAATTATACAAACATTAAGTAGCAGTTCCACATGATATTTGTTAATTTCATCTTTATTTAATGTATTAGGTTGAAATGTCTTTAAATAATTAGATTTTTATGTCTAAACTAATAATATCAATGTAATTATCTTGTTTCTTTGAACGTGGTGTGATTTGTTAGTATAAAAAAAGGCCTATTAAAAGAAATTAAGGTAAATCTTAGAAGCATACTGTCTGCATGTTTCTTCAAAAAACCGGTTTAGCAAATCTACCTTTGTTGTAAGAAACTTAAAAATAGTATAGGACATTTTACACATTAGATTATAACAGCTGCTTTTTTTTATGCCTGGCATTTGGTTGATTACTATTAGAAGAAAATACTTTTATGATATAATATTAAAAATGTCCAGGATCAAAATTTCAGAGCATAAAATAACATCAAGTGGTAATCTGAGACATTATTCTTCCACTATTAGGGCAACATTTTACTCTCAACTCTCATTATGAACAGTATTTTTATTACACCTATTAAAGCTTTAAACTTAAAAGTTTAGCAATAAATGAAGTTAAGAAAAAAATTGGAAAAAAAATACTAGTGTGATCTGGAGTCCCCACTCCAGTTCAACCACGAGGTTGGACTTACTGTTTGAATTCTGCAACATATAGTTAAGAGTGAAGAAGAAACACTGGTATGAAATAAAAGGAATCCTAACTTAAGTAGCATTTGTATTAATGTACTGCTCTTGTGATTAAAAACGGTAATGCTTATTATTTTGAAGAAAAGAAATACTGTCGGAAAAAATTGTAATTAGAAATTAATGTAAATATCTATAGTGCTGATGTCGTAAATGTGTATTAACAAAGGTGGATGTTTGAAGCAGTGGCGGAACTAGAAAAAAGGGGCCGCCCCGCAGAAAAAATTTTTAGGCCCCCCCCATATAAATATATAGGCCGATATAAGTATATATATATATATATATATATATATATATATATATATATATATATATATATAATATATATATATATATATTTACTCAAACACAAAATACGAACATAGGATACTCATTGCTGACCTGTTCGTGTTTTGAAAAATACGTTTTTTTAAATTAAAACAAATTACAACATCATGCCATGTGCATAAGTGAATTAGTCTGTTTTGTGAAAATTAGCTTTATATTATGTCTGCCGTAAAACCTCTAACATCTTATAGGTCAAAAGAATATAAAACATGAAAGCTTTCTGTAAATAATGGTGTCTCGTGTCATGTTTATTTTTATGTTTTTTTTTTTATTAATTTTATAAAAATTAAATACATTTTCTTTTTATACAGTGTCATTCTTTAGTTAGTAATTTATAAACAAATAATAATAAAGAGAAGTAATTGCTTTTTAATTTGTTTAGTACAAATCTATTAAAAAGAGGCTTATGAACATCACTATTTGACTATTTAAAAAAGGGAAATAAGTCATGGAAGTGGTTTGAACGTTTGCTTATCTTTGATAAGTTTGATTGGAGGAGAAAGAGGACTCGGCTTTCACAGTGGTTTAAAAACGAAGGAAAAATGACCAAGGGGTGGTGTCTATAGAATAAAGTTAATCCAACCGCAGCTACGGTAATCTTTTTTACAAAACAAACATTAAGTCAAAAATGCAAGAATTTTTTTTTTAACTATAACAAATTTTTTATGGTCGGCCGTGGGCCCCTAAATGGCGTGGGCCCCCCCCCCCCCCCCCCCGCATTGCGGGGTCTGGCGGCACTGTAGTTCCGCCCCTGGTTTGAAGAAGAAACGTGTTAAAGCATGCTAAAATACAAAAATAAGGAAAACTAAGTATTTCCATTGGATATATAAAATTCTAATGTGTGTTGATTCCTTCTGAACATGACCTATTTCTCAACATCAAAATTTCAATGACACCTCTTAGTGATCCACTGTTCCCCATTTTGGTAAACTATACACACATGGCTGTGGAATTTGTAAAAAAAAGATTACCAATATTGTTTTATGTTTTTAATGGAATGTCTCCCCAAAATCAGTAGAGGCATACTTTAATTTATTAGTGGTTGTAGTATTGTGGTAAAACTTTTTATATAAGGTAAAATGGTTGACTATTTTGCCTCTTGGTTTATAATTTAAGTGCATTTATTTAATCAAACCAAATGTGGTTTTTTTTTAACTTTTCTCTTAATTAATATACAGGCTGTATCAATATCATTTGTTGAATTTGTTTTTATATAAGGTTAGCTTCAAAAGATAATCTTAATTTATACTTCTGTTACCAAATTCTAAATGAACGCATTTAAAACACTTTAATTATTATAAATGCTACCTTGAATTTACACATTTTATTATAGCAGCTGTTTACTTCATGCCTGGCATTTGATTGATTACTATTATTTAGGAATTATTATTTTGATTACCTATTATTTAGGTATAGTTTAAATGGTTGTGAAATTTGTGGAAAAGATTACCAATATTGTTTAATGTTTTTAATGGAATTTTTCCCCAAAATAGGTAGAAGTATACTAATTTATCAGTGGTTGTAGAATTGTAGAGACTATTTCGCCTCTATAAGTGCATTTATTTATTCATACTAAGTGTGATTTTGGGTCCGTAATTTTGTGACGGTGTGTGATGAGGGGGAGGGGGGGGTGTTCAGATGGTGCGACGTCACACTTTTGCATTATAAATAAGCGTATAAATAAGCGTTATAAATAAGAGTAATCCAACCCCCTAAACTTTCTCGAATATTCTTATATAAAACAACAGGGGATGGGAACTTGGGCAATAGACATGATTTTTACAAGCTTTTATTTAACTCACTTCCTCAGTCGTCAGTCTATCAGTCTAGATCGAAACGGCCGAGCGAAATTGCAGGCACTTCTAACTGACAGATACCGTTCGTAATTGGTACTTGGGTCAAGACATGATGACATTAAATTTGACTTAATTGGATGCCTAATAAATTTTTTATGAATTAATTAAAATTTGGACCGAATTAGTAGACATATCTATCCAACCACACCACACGCGTCATCACGTTGAATAGCGCGTTATCATGTTTAATAGCCGCGCAATGGTTTTTAGTCATGAAACTAGTGTAAATAAAACATGTAAAATACTGGAAAAAAAATCATAAAACACCACGTTTTAATAACAAGCTTTTATGTACTGAAGCACTAAAAAGTAGAAAATAAATTATAGAATACTATTTAAATTACTATAAAGAGAAGCGTGGGTCTCTTCCTAAATATTAGTAAAGGTATTCAATAGATACTAAAGTAACCCACGCTTTTCTTTAAAGTAATTTAAATTGTAGTCTATAATTTATTTTCTACTTTTAATACTTTTTAGTGCTTTAGTACATAAAAGCTTGTTATGAAAACGTTTTTATGAATTTTTTTACAAGCTTTTATATAACTCACTTCCTCGTCAGTCGTCAGTCTATATGTCTAGATCGAAACGCCGGTGCGAAATTGCAGGAACTTCTAACTGACAGATAGGATTCGCAATTGGAACTTGGGTCAAGACAAAAGACAATGCATCGTGACCTTCAATTTGACTTATTTGGATGCCTAATTATTTTTTTATGATTTAATTAAAATTTGGACCGAATTCGTAGGCAGTTTTATCCACACGCATCATCATGGCAAAAGCGCGGCATCACGTTCAATAGCTGCGCAATGGTTTTTAGTCATGAAACTCTATTGTAAATAAAAACATGTAAAGTACTTTAAAAAAATCCATAAAAAACGTTTTAATAACAAGCTTTTATAATTCATGTAACTCTATTGTAAATAAAAACATGTAAGGTACTAAAATTTTTTTTCATAAAAACGTTTTAATAACAAGCTTTTATTTTAATAATGCAATAAAAAGTAGAAAATAAATTATACACTACTATTTAAATTACTATAAAGAAAAGCGCGGATCTCTTCCTAAATATTAGTAAAGATTTCCAATAGATACTAAAGTGACCCACGCTTTTCTTTATAGTAATTTAAATAGTAGTCTATAATTTATTTTCTACTTTATAGTGCATTATTACATAAAAGCTAGTTATTAAAACGTTTTTTTATGATTTTTTAAAAATCCATTTTAAATACTTAAACTTTTAAAAATAGAATAAAATCTCGTAGAAAAAAGAATTGCACACCAAGTGAACGCCAAAATAAAGATGTGCATAATAGTGTGCAATATTATTAGTACTTTATACATTTACATTAGTTTTTTGAGAAATCGGAAATAGCGTAAATTACTACTTCCGGTCAACGGAAATTACTCAAAATTTGAAAGAAGGCAGAAAATTAGATCTTTTACGTACATGTGAAATTTCATTTATATATCTGAAATAGTACTTAAGTTAGAGGCTTTTGAAAAATTCAAAGTATAAAAAGTTCCACTTCCGGTTATCGGAAATCGCTCAAAAGTTGATACGGATATACGATTTTGATATAATACTTACATATATATATATATATATATATATATATATATATATATATATATATATATATATATATATATATATATATATATATATATATATATATGAAATTTCATCAACCTGGCTGTAACGGTATATAACTCAAGTTAACACACATACACACACAGACATACGGACAAGATTGCAAAACTGTAAAACGTCGAGATTTG